CCATACACGAAAATGATCCCTTCCCTCTCGTATCCAAATTGCGCCAATCAGGAAGTGCACATTGGAATATAGGTGCTTGGTAAGCTTTCGGTACTGTGTATCTTAAGCATACCGATGCTGCAACACTATTGCACTGATACATCAGGAAACAGCCTAAGTATATATTAGTGTTTTATATTATTTATATATAGGTAAAAAATATCTGTAGAAAATGTTCTAAATAATGTAATTCTTTTAAGTGTATAAATATGTTATTAACTGATTTATATCACATATATTGAAGTTGACATTATATTGATGTAACTTCAAATGTTTCTAAGCTATCTTGTGGGAATTAGCTAGGTTACAAAACTCTTCTTACAAGTAATGCTATTACAATCAAAAACATTTTCACTTCAGCTACCAATTTACAGGGCTTTATGTGTTAACATATAAAGTATAGTAGGTACTAATTACCAACTTCTTATGTTTTTAGTTCTTGTTTTCCAGGTTTAATTTAATTTAATTCATTTTTCAAACAAACCAATATTTCAGGCTCTTCAGGGCTTGAACATCACTATGCCCACTTTGCCTTGGATTAGGATTCACATGTCAGGGTGTGTTCAATATTTGGAGATACACTCAAATAAAAAAATATTAAAAAAACTAAAAAAAAACTTGGCTCTTGGAGTTTTCAAATTTTAAAATCCGATTCTGAGGCTCTTTACAGGTCCCATGGTCACTGCTGATGTGTTTGTTTGAACAAACGGATATAAAATAAAGAAATAAAAAGCTAAAAAGAAATAATGTTTAAAATAAAACCTTCATTTTTATTACAGGAACAGAAGGTATTTCTAAGTGCTATGTTTTCAAAGGTACAAAAGATCTTACAGCTAAACAGATCCAAGAGCAATTAGCTATTGGTCGTGTCAATACACCAAACCCGCAAGCCCGTCCTGGTGCTCCCACTCCCGCACCACCAGCACACCGTTTCTTACAACCTGTGAAACAATGTGACATGGCACTTACTGATTTACTTGGCGAGCTTGGCAGAGATCCTTGGCCACTAGGTGTTGGAAAGAGACCATTACGCAGCAGCGGTGTCGCTTTGTCCCTTGCTGTCGGGTTACTTGAAGTCACATACCCAAATACTGGAGCCAGAGTTATGCTCTTCCTTGGAGGTCCTTGCTCTCAAGGCCCAGGTCAGGTGGTTAATGATGAGCTGAAGCAACCAATCCGGTCGCATCACGATATTCATAAAGACAATGCCAAATACATGAAGAAAGCTATTAAGCATTATGAAGCACTATCTTTGAGGGCGGCCACAAATGGGCATGCAATTGATATTTACTCATGTGCATTAGACCAAACTGGATTGATGGAGATGAAGCAGTGTTGCAATTCTACAGGGTTAGTAATATCTATGACATCATACAATTATTTGTTATGAAAAAGAAAATGGCTGATGTGGAATTATTATTGAAAGGATTTAAACCTTAGTTTGAATTTTAAGCTTTTTTATTTATGACACAACTTCTAAATAGATTTTGAATGTAAACATGTTTTTGCGAAATTCATTCCAGCTAATGGCTTGTACAATTGGAGATGATATGAGTAGACTTCCTAGTCACCTAGAGATTGTCATTGTAATACAATAAATACATTTGTAATCTTCAGTATTATCAAGTCAAAATGACTAAGTGAGCCAGCTAAGTACGCACGTAAAAACAAAAGGTACTACATACACAAGCTATGAATATATCACGCTTGGTAGTGATATAGTACCTCAGTTATTGGTGGATAAAAGAAAGGTTTTCTACTTTTGTGAGCTGTTTATTTTAGTTAATAAGCATGCTATAAGATAATTTTTTCCAACCTCTGGGACTTGTCTATTTAAGATAATGTTAAACGTACTCAATATAATCATTAAAAAAATGGAAATCATAGTAAAGTGATAATGATAATGAACTTGGAAGGTAAATGGAAGTTTTCTATTACTCGTATGTTCTTCTTTTACCATTGTATTGTTTCAGAGGTCACATGGTGATGGGCGATTCCTTTAACTCATCTCTCTTCAAGCAGACATTCCAGCGAGTCTTCGCCAAGGACCAGAAGGGAGACTATAAGATGGCCTTCAATGGTACTTTGGAAGTCAAATGCAGTCGGGAACTCAAAAGTGAGTCTTTCACTTATAAACTTCAACTTATATGGATGTGTCTAGTCACATTATGCAGCAAAATAGAGAAATTTTTCCTGAATAGGAAACATATAGAAAACTAAGCCTTCTCTTTTCTTGAAAGAAGGAGGAAAAGAATTTTCTTGGAAAGTTGTAGGAATAATGGCTCGCGGTCATGTCAGTACGAGATTCAAGCAATTTTAAGCATGTCTTTACTTTTTAATGTAGTTATATCTATATCAACCCGACTTAAAAGCATTGTGCTTGTGGATTCCCCATGCAAAGTATGTTTGTGTCCGATCAGGTGCACGAAGGTCTGCTACAAGGCGTCAGGCTGCTTACTGGGGCAAGAGAAATTTAACATCAGTTATTTTAGTGGTTTTTGTCATAGACTTTTTAACAAAAATAATTTTATTATTATTATCGTATTTATTTTAAACTCTCGCCTCTCCCAAGGCCTAAAAGATTAATATTAATGTGGCTTCATTCAGGGCCTGTGCATCCCCTCATCACTGCGACTATTGACTGATCTGTTGTGATCACCACTAATTACAGTGCAGAGCCAAGGCCGACAGCATTGCAGAACTGAAGGACTTTCCTGGCTCTGACAGATTTAATGTCCTCTGGTTGTGGCATATGTCTTCCCAGTACGGAACTTCGTACGCCCATCAGGTGGTAGCATTGAGTGAGTAGATGAACAGGAGTTTCATCCGCATTATGGCAGAATCTACGTTCTCTACTCTCCTTCTGCCCAATATTTGACATGTACTTGTTTAAGCCACAATGCCCTGTTAAGGCTCTAGTGAGTATTCTTATGCCATTCCTGTTCAATGACAGAGCTTCTCTACAGTGTTTGGCACTGTAGGCAGGTATCAGGGCTTTTGAATGCTCAAGACCCTTGTTCTGCAGCCACACTTCTCGGGAGAGGTGTGTGCTCTCATTTAGTAGAATGAGCTTTACCAGGCTGTATCCCTATGAAGGGTTCGGGTCCAATAAAGGTTTTCCTAGCACCAGCCTTTGCCAGTAGGTAAAGGAAATCCACTGACTCATTATTCTCGATGTCAGAGTGGCCTGGAACCGAGCGCAGTACCACTGTATTACTTTCCCCGAGAGTATTCAGTATATTTACACAGTTCTCTACAATCCTTGATGTTTGGGGTGACTGAAGCATGTAGAGCCGCTTGGCTATCTGAGTATATGTAAATATGCTTGTCAATGTAGCCTTTCTTCAGGTTCAAATCCGCATAAGTAATTATGGCGTACAGTTCGGCCTGAAAGATAGAGGAGTGTCATCCCATGTTCAGATTGTAGCTGAGCCTGGGTCTCACACCGTGTATACCACAGCCTACATTGGGTCCTATCTCAAGGTCGTATTCTTGAACTCTACTCAATGCTCAAGTCAGGATTTGAGTATGGTTTAAAGCACTCGAAATCATACTCAAGTCCCTGCCATCAAGATCGTATTTCCAGTGCTTGAAATCATACTCAGATCCTGACTTGAGCATTGTGTAGAGTTCTAGAATACGACTCTTAGTTAGACCCATCGGTATACCATAGAAGGCTACCGTCCTTCCAGGTGAGACTGTTAGTTTTCCAGTTCTCTTTAGTTGGAAATTCTACCTGATAGAGTTTTTTAAAGTTTTGTTTGGGAAGCATGGCATCAGAAGTCATTCCCAGAACAGAGTGTTCCAGAATTGAGTCTTGGGCTGACCTCAATGTCTGGGAGAACCATCTACTCTTTAACCTAGTAGTAAGCCTGTACATGCTGGCACTGGTCTCCCTCTGTATGAGTAAATGCAGAGGAGTCAGGTTCAGCAATGCATTTAGGGCCGCCCCAGGTGTGGTGGACATGGCTCCCGTTGCAAGCAGGCACGCGATGTGCTGTAGACTGCCCAGAGTGACAATTGTAGTGATTTGGCTGACTTTAGCGCTCCAAGCAACGGAGGCGTAAGTCACTATGGGCCTGACAATTGCCTTATATAACCAGAGAGATCTTTGGTTTTAGACCCCAACGCTGTCCCGCCATACGGCTACAGATACCTAAGGCCATCTTGGCCTTGTTGACCGTGTTAGTTATATGGTGGTTCCACCCTAGGGTTTGATCTAGAGTTATCCCTAGATATTTGACTTCTGCGGAAAAGCCCACAGCCCTGCCACCAAGAGTCGGTTCCACTAGCTTGTCTAGTTTCCGTCTCCTAGTGAAGGGGACAATGGTTGTCTTTTCCGCATTGATTGATAGTTCATTATCTTGACACCACGCGGAAATGGTGTCAAGTGCTCCTTGCATAAGTGATGATATAGTACTTTGGCAGTGCCCTCGAACTGTGATCACCAGGTGATCCGCATATACCTGAGCGTCAATATTCAGTTTAGCCAACCTATACAGGTTCTGATCCACGGCAAGAGCCCAAAGGAGAGGAGAAATTACCCCACCTTGCAGGCAACCATATACTGTGGGGGCCACAAGCTGGTTCCCATATAACGAGATACTGGCCCTCCGGCTTAAAAGCATGTTCTGTACCCGTCTCGTGGTTGAAGTGTCTACACCTTTGCAGGTTAGGCCCTTCACCAGAGTATGGAGGGGTGTATTGTCAAATGCACCCTCAATGTTTAGAAAGGCACACTGTGCTATTTGTTTGTCCTCAAACGCTCTTTCAACCCTGTTCTCAAGGTGGAGCAAAGCTGTCTCTGTGGACTTTCCACTCTTATAGGCGTGTTGAGTGTGATGGATAGGACTATATGTTAAGGACGAAGCCCTAATGTGATTATCAAGTACCTTCTCCATTGCCTTAAGCAAAAATGAGATTAGGCAGATAGGTCTAAAGGGCTTAGGAAGAGAGTAGTCCTTTCTGCCTACCTTCAGTGTAAATACAACTTTACACGTTGTCCATTGCATCGGTATGTGTCCCCAAGCAAGACTGGCTCTGTATATCTTGACCAGGTATGGCAAGAGTACACTTATTCCTTGCTGCAGTAAGACGGGAGTAATGCTGTCCTCACCTGGGGATTTATACGATTCAAACGGGCCATCACTTATTCCTTGCTGCAGTAAGATGGGAGTAATGCTGTCCTAACCTGGGGATTTATACGATTTAAACGAGCCCAAGCCACTTGTCGGGGTCTTATTATGTTGGCGGCTCTGTTCCAGTCAGAATCAGCTCACACCCACACCCACACCCACTAATCCTAGTGGGCGTAACGCACAAGGCCCCCGGGAAGTGGGTTGAGATTAAAAGCTCAAGGGTTTCTGTCGTAGAAGTCGAGAAGGTCCCATCAGGCTTCTTTAACAGTCCTGGTTGATGGGAATTGGCTTTTGCGAGCAGTCTATGTACACGTGCACCTTGAGGAGCACTAGCGATCTCCTCACAGAACCGCCGCCACGAAACTCTGATGGCCTTCCTTATATCCTTGTTATAGTTAGTTAGCGCCTTCCTGTAGGTCTCCCATTCCTTTGTTAGTTTGGCCTTATTGAAGAGCCTTCGAGTTTTCACCCATAGCTTTCTCAGTTTTGCATTCCACCACGGAACCTTCCTATTGGAGGTCCAAATTTTTGACGGGCAGCTTTCCTCAAAAGCGCTGATGATGGCCCTGGAAGTGACCTCAACAGCTAACTCTAGACTGAGTGGTTTTGATCGATTTAGGACACACTTGTAGATATTGCCCTAGTCTGTCTCTATAGACATCTCAGGCCATGTCCCTTGGATTTCTAAATGTAGTGGGGTGGCAGACATCGCCTGCTCCCAGATTAAATTTTATGTGTTTATTATCCGACATCGACGTCTCGTCGATATAAGTCCGGCTAGTCTAGCCGCAGGGAAAGTAATGTCACGAATTTCTTGTCTTGGCCTAGTAACAAAAGTTGGTGTACATCCTTCGTTATTAATATACAGAGAATTTGATACTTGCGTGAAGAATCTTCCACACTTCTGTGTGGAAGCCTCTATTTTGGGCCCCCAGCAGGCTGATGGCCATCCGCACTGACTCACATCCCTTCTTGGGAGTGTAGGTGGTGGGCTTCGGAAGCTCGCTCTCATCAGTCAAGGATAGCTGGGCTTCCGGCCACGGCTTTAAATTGCCGATCTTTCCCACAAGCCAGTCTGCACTTGCTCGGTCCTTGCAGGTCACAAGAATCTGGCCTGGCTTGTGAGAGAGGCCCAGGAACTTCGGTCCCTCGCCATGCGATGTAGTACTCGCTATGGTGCGGACCATGAATAGCTCCACCAGCTCCATTTGCTTTTCTGACATGGGTTCCGAATTCCGGATACCCACGCGCAGGGAGCCCGCCTTTTCGCTAAAAGTAGGTCTATTCCTGCTTTCAGCTGGCGCCATGGTCCTGGGAGCTTTCCTGACATGCTCCTGTGGCCACGCCTCCTCTGACCGTTCACGCTTCTGGGCTTTTGGTTTTGGAGGTGATTTGGACACCGGAAGATCACTGTAGGGCTTTTCAGATAGAGGCAGAGTTTTTGCGTAGCTCATACCTGTTCTCATCAGGCCCTGCAATCTCTTCTGGCAAGACCCGCTCAGCCGAATGCGCGGCTGAGCGCTAGATTCCGACACCAGGGCATCCGAAGGACCCGCCTGATTCGTATCCATAGCCGTGACCGAAGTCACGTCGTCGTTGCTGGGTAGACTATCCATCTCAGCAATCGTTTCGTCCCAAGGAGGAGATTAAAGCGTTAATGTTTATATCTTTCTCCATACATATCCCACGAGAAGATAGGGAATTAAAAGGTCACAGCCAGCAGAGCCCCGCTTGCCGGCTGAAGGGCATAAAGTTCCCCCGAGGTGCCCCGGTATCGAGGGTGCACCGTTAACAGCTGGGCCCCAGACACGCATCCATGGGCACAATCCGCTTGAAACCCTTAGATTGGGTGACGACACTTTTGCCAGCGCCTAGCAAATGCCCGAACTAAGTCCAAGCATTTACTAGGAGTTGCCCAGGATGTACCGGCTCATGTCTTCCCTTCCTATGCAATTGGATTACATAGAATGGAAGCCACTCGCTCGCGTGGAGGTACGTCGTCCTAACATCCCATATTATTATACAAAAAATGATTTTTTTGAAGTTCTATTGCTTTGTTTAATATATTTCTATATCTGAATGCTAACATATTTGTTCTAGTAAGCGGTGCGATTGGATCTTGCGTATCGCTAAACGTGAAAAGTCCCTGCGTGGCCGACCAGGAAGTGGGAATGGGGAATACGTGCCAATGGAAGATGTGCACGTTTACTCCTAGTACTACTATGGCCATTTTCTTTGAGGTATGTGCTATATGTATATGTTTGTAGAACAAGAGTATTTTTTCTATATTTGCCTTGATCAGACAAGAAAAAAACAAACCTCGGAACATTCATAATTTGTGACAGTATTGAAACCTTGACAATAATCAGTCGTAATTTCTAATTAAAAAGAAATAATGTATTTTGGACTGTTAATACATACAATTTAAACTTTAACCTATTGGCATATTGTTGAATGTTCAGTACCTATTATTGCAAGTTAGGACGTTTTGATTTTATACGTTTAAAATTTCAATCAGTGTTATGCCACCTAGCGGTTAATAGTTGAATAACGTCGAATTCGAGATGTTTATTTAGGTCTCAAGAAGCGAACATTTATTACTGCGGTATAAGGCATATTTTCGTTTCTTGTAACAAAAAATATTCCGATAAACAGAAAATTGTTTGTGAACCTTCTTCGACATACTGGTTTCATGGCTATGTGTTCCTTTACCGTTGGTGAGACTAGCACGCTTTCTCCCATCGTACTATAACCGCTCTCTATATGTCATACACAAGTTGTATAAGGAGATAGAGAGAGAGAGGGCTTTCAAGAAAACAGGACGACGTTACTTACATAAAGCTACTACTACCTCTGAATTGTGTGATATTCGTTAATAGGTAGTGAACCAACATGCGGCTCCAGTGCCTCAAGGCGGACGCGGGTGCGTGCAGCTAATCTCACAGTATCAACACTCCAGCGGACAACGCCGCGTCAGAGTCACTACAATTGCTCGCAAGTGCGTATTCAATTCTATACACTAAGTTATAAGTATATATTTCAATAAAAATCTTGTATCCTTGAAATATTGACAGTCTTTAATTAAGAATACTGTAGATATTTTTGGGACTTTATTAAATTGACTGTATATTAAATAATTTGTCATTTATGTATGTGAAAAAAAACTCAACGCTAATTTTGCTTTAGGTATATAACAGTGACGGTGCGCGAGTTTCTTTGGAATGGTTCTACCAATTAATATGAACAATTTTTGCTATCTTCTGAAATCGCGGAAAAAACCAACTTCCAAACATTTTTGTCAATAAAAGCTAAAAATTCTCGCGGACCTACCCTGGTTAACCAATAAGTTAAAATTAAGGACAAATTATATTGACCAGTTAAGAAAAGCTGAGATTTTAAATTAACGTGAATAATGTAAGCGTACAGCAATCATGATTGACAAGGTTAAAAACACGATCCTAAATTAAATACCTATCTACCACGTAGTTGGGGCGATGCGGCAGTGAATCTTCATCATATCGCAGCTGGGTTTGACCAAGAGGCCGCAGCGGTAGTGATGGCTCGTCTGGTAGTCTACCGCGCTGAGATTGAAGATGGCCCTGATGTGCTGCGCTGGCTCGATAGGATGCTTATCAGACTGGTAAGAAGATTAACTAACCAATAACATTTTAGAGGTTGTTTGTAAAAAGCGTAAGTGAAAAAAATCTAAATTAATTAAAGATTTACTATTTTATGTGTACTCTGTAAAATTATTAAAGTACTTTAAGTAATATTCATTATAATTATGCAATTACTCAATAGCAAAACGCTAAAAGATAGTTTTCGCTGTTTGAGATTTTTCGAAAGCATTTGATAATGTACGATACATTTCGTAATATAAAATATTTACAACATTATAACTATTCCTGTAAGATTCCATTTTTGAGTAATACTATTCGCAAATCATTGGTGTTAAAAACCAGAGAATAGTGTTGTTTTATTTGTTGGAAAACCTTTTCAACAAGGCTCTGTATTACGTCCTTTCTTGTTTATCGTTCAAATTTTACAAGTGCTTTTATAGCATCAAAGCACTTGTCGAATTTAGTTCGATAAACCAAGGAAAAGATAAGGAAAAAAATGTTAAATTATTGTTTATATTTTTTATAAGTGTCATTGTGTAATATGTCCTTCCATTAAAGTTAACAGATTTTTCCTGTTTTATTCAATTACAGTGTCAAAAGTTTGGCGAATACGCGAAGGATGATCCGAATAGTTTCCGCATGTCGGAGAACTTCAGTCTGTATCCGCAGTTCATGTACCATCTGCGACGGTCACAGTTCCTGCAAGTCTTTAACAATTCTCCTGATGAGACTACCTTCTATAGGTTAGCGGTATTAACAAACAATCATGTTTCACATTAATGTAAATTCTGAGCGTTGTGTATACAGAGTCGTCTATTTACGAACGAGAAACGGTGTTCTTGTAGTTAAGCAATTACGTTATCGTGTCGATATCAGCGAATCCCCGGATAATTTCTGTAAACATGTCCTTACACATTTGTTATTCTGCAGGCACATGCTAATGCGCGAAGACCTAACGCAGTCGTTGATTATGATCCAGCCGATCCTATACTCGTATTCGTTCGGCGGCCCGCCCGAGCCGGTGCTTCTCGATACCTCCTCCATTCAACCAGACCGCATCTTGCTTATGGACACCTTCTTCCAGATTTTAATTTATCACGGAGAGGTATGTTTTTATCAAATGGCTTGTTTTGTGCGCTGACAAGGATAAACCTTGAAAATGTGTCCTTGTTTCTGACAGACCATAGCTCAATGGCGCGCTCTACGTTACCAAGACATGCCGGAGTACGAGAGCTTCGCGCAACTGCTGCGCGCGCCTGTGGATGACGCGCAGGAAATCCTGCAAAGCCGCTTCCCTGTGCCGCGGTACATCGACACTGAGCACGGCGGGTCACAGGTAACAAATTATAATACTATTAACTAACAAATCAATTTAAAGATAGGACGCAATTCAGTTATTACCTGCCGTTTTAGAGTTGGACTCCCAATTCATTGTCGAAATTGAAAGAACTAATTTCTTTTACGTGCAACATATACATTAAGAGGGAGCATGCCAAAAACGTTTTGACGTTGGCTCCGCCCAAATTTGTGAAACAAATATATGCCTGAAGTTCGCGTGACATGCGACAGGAGATGTTGAATTTTGCGCATTAAAAGTACCAAATTCGTTTTAGCGGAATAACTCTAAAACTAAAGGGATAAAAAAAAATCCGTAGTGACAGTTGTCGATCATGCATAAATATAATTAATTATCTAATTTTTGTCCTAATAATCTGTAGCATTTCGAGGATAAATCGAAAAAATGTGAAAGTTGGAGGTCATTTCGTGATTTTTATCTATCGAGGAAACTTTATTGTTTTATGTTTCTGATTAATGTCTATGCTTGAATATATCGTGTAGTTACTCATACAATATTTTATTTTTAACTTTAATGTGGATACACCCCTCTAAAATCAAATCGAAGATTAGGAATTTTTCCTCTGCTCCCTCTTAATGTCAAATTCAATACCACCGCCACCATTTCAGGGTTGAAAAACTTAAGAGTGCATGTAGGTGGTGATAAATACGATACTTGTATTTTAATGAGAAAACTAATTTGTTACAAGTGAAAGTACTTTAGTAATAGCCGTAACTTGTACATTAATTTTTATTTATTCATATGGTTTCAGTACTTCGTGCAGCATCGTCTGTTCTGGTCGCTAATAAACGTTCTAGTATTTTGTTCACCTTTTGCTGGGTTTTTAAAAAGTTTTTGAACGGTGCGTCGTTGTATATAGAAGGAGGTTTGATGTTACTTATAGGGGCCGATGGCCTCGCTTGCGGTGTATTTTGCCAATCTTTGTCTTTATATTGAGACCTTTCCTCGAATCTTTCTAGCTTCTCGTGGTAACCTACAGGAATCTTCTCCGAATTTGCACCACCAGAGTTATATCGTCGATCAAAGCTAATTCCTTTCTCTCTGTATTCTTTATTTTTAAAACTGTCCATCGCTACCATGACACTGTCGCCGTAGTTCGGGGTCCCTTGAATAGCAAAGTTATTATCAGGAGAGTTACGTTTTGTATATATATTTTGTAATGTTTGCGGTGTATACACCCTTTTAAAAACATTGCTAAACACTTCTTCTTTATCATTTGCTCTCAAAAAACGAGCCATTTGATTGAGATGTATAATTCGCGGGTCCAGCTTCGAACGGTGATCAAATGGGTTGCGTTTAGAATTGTAACCAATTCCAATATTCGTGTTTTCCTTACTGTTTAATTTTTCTTCATATGTATTACCAGCATTTTTGAAAATAACGTTGTTGCTGTTATTTTGATTTTGAATGTCAACATCTTCTGCTATGTTTAATGATTTTGTTTTATCATCTATCACGTTTTGATATTCAAGCACTTCCGCAATTTTTTCACGATTTTGGTTTTGTTCGTTATTGTGTGCTCCATTTGAACATTTGGATTTGTCTTGTACTCCGCTTTTGTATCCAAACACTTTGGCAATTTTTTCGACCTCTGCTAATATATTTTCGAGGTCAGAATTTTTAGGGTTTTCTGTTCTCGGTTGCTCATAGTTTGATATGTTGACGTCGGTTTTGAGCTGCGGAACTGCATCTTGTTTTGATGCCGCTGAAGTCCTTTCGGGATTGAAACCAATTCTGAAATCGTTTACGTATTGTTTTCTGTCTTGATTGAATATTGGAACGTTATGATTTATTGAACGATTTTGTAGAGTACTTCCTAATTCATGACTGGAGTTTTCAATGTGATACGGTGTATTTGAATATGTACTCAATGTATGTTTACGACTTTCAACATCTTTAATCTCAGCTTGACTTTTGCCATACTTGATCATTATGTTCCACCTATTCTTTTCATCTTGAGTTAATCCCAGAGGCAGAGGAGAAGATAAAACAATGTGGTTATTTAAACCTACAGGATTTACCATTTGAATAGGGGCTATAGCTCCGACATCTGTTTGCTGAACAGTTACAGAATTGTTTAATTTGTTTATGTTCGGTATACCGTTGTTGATATGTGCTTGATTTACATTCAAGTTATGATATGGTAGCGATTGTAATGTTTGAGTATATGGGTTGATGATAATTGGCAATATTTTGGAAGGTTGTATTTTCATATTGAAAGGAAACGGTGGGTGTAATCTTGACTCGAAAGAAATAGGTAGTTTACTTGCTTGTACGTTTATATCGAGCAGTTGCTGTGGCTTGATAGATTGTAGTTGTATGTCGAGGGCACGTTTATGAGCTTGCAACATTAGGTCGAATGGACTTAGTTCTTGTGGCAAGTCGTAGGAACCGGGTTTGGCTTGAAATTCTTGTGGTAGTAAGTCATGAAGACTGGATTTATCTTGCAATTTCATGTTAACAGAGGTCGGTGGAATGTATCCGGAAGAATCCACTAAAACAGGAAAGTTTATTTGTGGCTGCACTAATTCCTTATATGTTATGTTCTTAGAAGTGTTCGGCGTGGCTGTCACGGCCATTGACTTGATTTCTTGCATCAGTTTGATGTGTTTAAACAATTCAATGAATTTTTCTATTATAATAGTCGCCTGTTTTAACTTTTCCGAATCAATTTTAGTTAACGAAGCAGCGAACATATCTGAAAATTAATTAAAACTATGTTACAAACTGTATGTAGAAACATGACGAAAAATGTTTGCGATAAAAAATAGATGCGATTTAATTGATCGTCAAATATGAAAATGTAATTGAAATTTGTTAAAAAATAAAATACTCAATACACATTGCATTCAGAAGTCAATAGTAGAAAGAAATACCAATTCTAATTCGTGACTTCACACTTTAATGGCGTCAGATATGTCGTATAATAGGGACAGTTTTGCTAAAAAGGGGCAGAAGATCTTCTCATCACTGGAAGTCATTTTCTCTGATGTTAGTTTAGATATATTGAAAAGACATACTTCACATCCATCTTCAGAAAATAATGTATCAACTCTGTTCTAAAAGTGTGTTAATATTAGGTGTTAATAGGTCTTGTCTTTCTTACCTGCAGTTGTACTGATATTTTGTGTTTTATCTTTTGGGCTGTTTTGTAAAGTTGTTGTAGTTGTGTTCTTAGGTTGCAATTTTGTAGGTATGAGTTTCATTGCATTAGGGATAATTTGATTATTTGCAGAAGCAACGTTTGAAGTTGTGTTTAGTTCAGTTATGTAATTCTTTGTAGTTATTTCAGTCGTAATGGTGGGTTTAGTGATTGCCAATATACGATCTTGGATGTCGTTAAGTACTAACTTCTTCACATTTTCTGCAATTTCTTTCATGACGTCGGGATGCAGAAATTTCTCGTTGTTAATGGCAGTTGAAATACTTGGTGTCGTAAAAATAATTTCCTTTAGCGGTAGCCTTTGTGGAGTTGAACTTTGTGTGTTTTCATGGCTGCTATTTGCTAAGTCGTGGACAAAAGTTTGTATACCCGGTGTGTCAGGATTTCGAGGCAAACTGTAGTGCTGTATAAATTTTTGCGGTTGTTCCATATAGGGTTCGAAGTAATTAATGGTTTCCACTGGTGGTGCATTGTAATGTTGTGTAAATTTTTGATACTGTTCTGTATTTTGCTCGGAGTAATTTTCAATTTTCACTGGTTGTGCTTCGAATTGCTGTATAAGTTTTTGAGGTTTTTCTGTGGTAAGTTTTAAGTAAATTATTCTTGGTCCTGGTGGCGCTTTGTACTCTTGTATAAATTTTTCAGAATGTTCTGTAGTCTGCTCGAAATAATTCATACTCTTCTCTAGTGGTGGATTGTATTGTTGTAATAATTTTTGAGATTTTTCTGTATTCTTCTCGAAATAATTTATATTTTCCATCGAGTGCGTTGTTATTGCCCTATTCATTATATCATTCATAGGACCGGCCAATGGGCTGGGAGGAACATTATGATTCCTAGATAAATTATCCTTGAGAGCTAAGGTGGTTAAAGGTGAGCACACTTCATTATTTCCTAATTGTTCCAATCGGGTAATAGTCGCCGTTATATCTCCATTATCTTTGAATTTATTTATTTGGAAATTCGTCAGTAAAGATTTTAGTAAGTTAAGTTTTTTATTTAGTGGGTTATTAGTGAATACGTTCTCGTCTGCGTTGTATTTTACGTATTCTGCCGCACTTTGTGGTCTCTGCTCATTTACGTTATCGTGTTTACTTGGTTTGTTTTCCGGCGTATCGATTTCAATACGGGTAACCTTATTTTCATTACTCGTTTGCGGTTTCGCAAAAAGTTTATAAATATTTTTCAGTAATGCCTTAAAACTTAAATCATGAGGTGTGCCGAAATTTATTGGTTCTTGAAATACGCTTTTAATATTTTCTTGGTTAGGCTTACCGTTTTCAATAATAAATTTACTTCTATCATCGATATAAGATTCACTATTAAGTTGATAATTGAAAAACCTTTGAGTTTCTCTTGGTACTTGCCTTTCTGATAGTTTATCTATATAGATACCTTTATTTGAAACTAAGTTCTCTAAAACTTTGCTAATGCTTTCGGCTTCTTCAGAGTACATGGCGTGACGAGGTTCTGGTGTTACCCTTTTCGTAGTAATTTCATTGTTGTAATGTTCTTTGCTGCTTTTTGGGTTTGATTTCATGTACATATTCCAGAATTTAATAACACTGCTCAAGGTGGGCAAAGCTCTGTGATCGTTTTCAACTTTTTCCGTGACAACTGGTTTTTTAGTTATTATTTCTATTTTATATTTAATAGATTTTAATTCTACATTAATATTTTTTTTCTTAGAGTTTGTTCGATTCAGTGAGATTGGATGTTCAGTCGTGAATGTCAGTGGTTTATGCTTGTTCTTTTTTAAATGTTGCAATAATGTTTCCAATTCAGATGTATCCAGTAGATCAGCAAAACTTGCTTTTGTTATATCTAAAAACAATTTTTTCTTAAATTTTAATTTTGTTTAACGTAATATGATTAAAACTGTAAACACTTACTTCCTTTGGATGCCAAGTCAAAATTTATAGTGGTTTTTGTCGAGTTTTTGGGTAACGTTCCTTGCTCCACGTAGAATTTATTAAAACATTCTTGACGTACTTTTCTGTAGAAGAAAATTATGTTTAGTATTATATAATATTTATTTTGTTGTAATGGGTGCGTTTTTGCAAACATTATTTGAGGATAAGCAATTAGTGTGAATAAAATACATAATATTTATGCTATGGGTTTTTAAAATACTTACTTACTTTGGTATTATACCTGTACTATTATTATTTGCATTACATCATTCACTTATATTTTGTACATGTTGGGAGATAATAAATGAGCTTATTATTATGATAGTGCTTACTCATTATTTAATTCGTCTAAATTGACATTGCGCTGCTCAAGTTTTCTTAACAGACCGACGTCCAAATCCTCTTTCTGAATTCCGCTCAGGAATAACACGCATATTAAATCTGGAAATTATTGAGCTGTTTCTATTGGAGAAAAGGACGTTTCTCTAAAAGAAACAGCTAGTGCTGGTTGTAGTTGGATTTTTATCCAGTTTTTGCTTATAGTTCGTGTTAATTTTAAAAGATATGAACGTTGATGCCATGGCCGTATATACTAAAATTCGAACAGGTGTCACTTCACTACACTACATAAGTTTATAATATTTCACTATAGGAAATTGGCTCATACAATAAACAAATATTTGTGGTACTCAGTGCATCTTTATACAAACACTTAAACAACTTTTTACTCGAACACTTCACAGTATGTATTAATATACACTTTATTGCTCTTTTTAAAAAAAGCCATACTGTCTCTCTCCGCACCTCTCTGTTTTGCGTCACTGAGGTCCAGTCCTTCAGGTGCGCGTCTAGCTCGTCTCTCCATCGACGCTTTGGTCTGCTCCATGGTTGTTTTCTATCTTTGCTCACATACAAGAACAAAAACAACTTAGAACTAATGTAGACAAAGGCGACCTTATCGCTAAGAGCGTTCTCTTGCAGAACGATCGCAATAAAGCTGCATTCTTGGATGTCCTGTGTTGAGCATACTCTGTCACCCACAGTGCCTACAATTTTGGAACTTCAAATCAAAAGTCGGTTATCGATTGAGTGTCTGTTTACAGTTCCATTTCGATCATAGACTGCTAATGAAAGTGGTCGCCAGTTGAAGGCATTCGATCGATCGCCGACAAGATGACCTGACCAAGCGAAGGCGGCCACGTTCTCTATAACATGCTTCCCGTTGAAGAGAACGACAATACATCAAAACTGATGATCTCGGTGCCACAACGGTTTGCACTGTCGATACTGGATACGAGGAGGGCCTGGGTTCGATTCCCGGTAGTACCAGTTTGGGAAATGAACTTTTCTAAATTGGTTTTGGTCTGGGTTTTCTTGGTGTGTCTCTGAGTGAATTCCGTTGCACTGGTATTCATAGTACACGGAATTCCCTAGTTTGAAACCAGGTAATTGGTGTTGTTGTCTGGTACATTATTGTTGTTGCAATAAAAGGACTCGCCTCTCCCATAGTGTACAAGATAAATTTTGAATTTTTAAACGAGAGAGGCGGTATTTCTCGGCGATGGTACAGTCGGCCGGGGTCTGGGTCTCAGGTTCAAGAACCGGTGAACAATAGGTGCCGTATCGAGCAGGATCGCCTTCTGCATTTGTGCTGGAAGCGACATGCCACATAAATCCAACCGCCTCAAGCTGCTCGCGAGGCTGACTGGAATTAATCCGTTTGCGGAAAAAACAATTGGGATTATTATTAATGTTACCATGAACCATCAAAAAACCATGGTTCTCAGTAACAAGGGAACCATTAAAGAGAGGGAAATCACAGGAAAACACAACCGCGTAGCAGCACAATACACAATTACACACACAATTGAAATACTACGTTCTACATCGTGAATTTTTGTCACTTATAAAATATTTACTATATATTTTGTCGGAACCTTTTATCGCACATTCTGTGCTCTGAGCGTTTGCATTAACGATTGTTTCACGTGAAAACGTACATGAGATGGCGATCGCAGTCAGTAGTACTCGGCACAACATTTTGGCGTGTTATCGCGCCACGAGCGCCATTCGTTCATTGTTTTCATTACAATGGATCGTTTCGTTTTTCCTATTTGCTTTTATGCGTTTACTAACGCATGTCTTATACTTGAGATTAGAATGGACTTGGTAACGTGTACGTGAATGAGATTTCACTATACCCAAGCTCACTCATTTCTTGTCTTGTGGAATACAATCTGACACGGTTAATGGATGTTTGCGTACAAAAACCACAAAATTATACACATATTTCTCTATAAATCTAGCCATATGTAATTTCTGTACTCCGCCGTCGCTATGGTTTTTATAATTTGGGAGGCCATGATCTTTTAGTTAATATACAAGGGTAGCCTTGGAAGGTCTGCATTGCGACATTTTAATCTCCATAGTAAAGTAGTAGTTTAAGTCTCCATAGTAAATCCTATTCTTCTTGTGTCATTGCTTCTTTTAGTTTAGGACTATATCAATTGGTTTGAGACAAAAACCAATATGTGAATTCTCGAAATATGAATTTCCTAACTCATTGTAATTCCAGGGTACTTCTCATTATGCTCTTTTCTATGTTGGAGTCCAATAAGTGGATTTGTGAATGTAATACAAAAATGATTTAGTTACAAACCCCATACTTTACCATTGAAAAGTGCATTTGAAAGTACACTATAATGAATTAGAAAACTAATTTTAAGAAAATTCACTTGTTCACTTGACGTATTGCCTCGGATCTCTTGATAATAACTTGGTGTATGTATGTTCCAACCATGATTGCGCAATCTGTGGCCGCGTTGAGATCTTCCCCCACACAGGTGTTTCTGCCAACCAGAGTTGCATCTACCAAGGTTGTTGCGAAAATCAGCATCTGCATCCGCATAAATTAAAATATCCGCATTAGCTTTCGCATTAATCGGTACTGATAATTGCGGATATTCGAAACGTTACCTGAAGACTAACGGGGATTATGGTACACTGGAATAGAGACCGCAAGCCGGAAAAGTAATTCAACCATTGTCCTTACCTTTGATAAAATTCCAGTATGATTAAGCTAGGCAATTTGGTCGATTTTATGCAAAAAAAATGCCAGAAAATCATTGAAACAGTCTTTTATTTCAATACCAAATATAAAAGCTATTTCATGCAGATACTGTAAGGATTTGTACATTTTTCGAATTTTTAAAAAAGATAAAAAAGCTATAATAACACCATCAGGTGAAAATAATCAGTATCCACATACGCTAATGTGTAAGAAACTTGCATCACCAACAACCCTGGTAGGTACTGTGTTGAAGCACCGCAGTCACAATGGATTGATTTAGATTGCTAGAACCTCATTTGCACATAAGAAATCCCACTGGGTGACCATTGCATTTTATATGTAAGATAAAAAAACTGGGCTATCAATAACAACTGTAACAATGTTTTTATCTCTTTATAGGCGCGTTTCCTGCTGTCGAAGGTGAACCCGTCGCAGACACATAACAATATGTACGCCTACGGAGGGGTGAGTATTGCTTTAACTTACTTTATTTTACTTACTAAACACATTTAAAATGATTTATTTAGTATAGAAAATTGATAATTTTATTATTGTTTAATAGTTAGAACTAAAGAGTGACTCACATTGCATCGTGACCATAAACACTCGTCATAACTGTGAAATGCCAGTTGCTTCGCCTTAGTAATTGACGAAAGTGATGTCGGTTTTGGTAAACGCAATCTAAACTTAATTTAAGTTAATGCGTCTGTCATTTTCAGATTTATTTTTAGTTCAGAGCAGAACATTTTGACAGCTTATAAATTTAGTGGTGATATTTTTTTTATGCGACAGGACGAACAAGACGCGCGCCTGGTGGTAACCGATACGCCTATCCGTGACGGTTGCAGTGCCAGGCAGAGCTTAAAATCGCAAATATCTGAGAGGCACTGCCACTGTACCCGTCAACCTGAGACATAGGTTGACAAGTCCCATGTGCCTAAAATTTCACCAGCACCCTTACCCATCAAAACCGGAATGCAGTAATGCTTATATTACTGATTGACGGAGAAATAGTACGGCCTCGGACGAGTTTTTTCACAAGGAGCTCTACTGCTGTTAGTGATAGAAATGTGTCAACTAATTCGAAGGCTCTATAGCTCTATAGGACAGACGCATTGAACTGAAATAAGGCCAGTTTGTGTCAGACAGAATCGAGGACATTTTTTTGCAAGTTACTAAGTCGAAGTAGTAGTAAGAATCGTTCAGTAGAACGACATATCGCTGTCAGTTCGTGGCAGACTATTTTGACGTACGCCTTTAAGCAAGGTCATTAATTACCACATACATATTATATATACATTTACGCTAACTATAACCAATATATGAAAAATCTATGTGATACTCATTATATATACGATTGTCCGCTCCCGGTTCAGTGTAGTGTGAGTTAATCTTTATTTTAGCACTTGATTTTTTTAGTTTAATCAATTTTGGCACTGCTCTAACACGTTAATTTGCCGCAACTCTATTAGAAAAATTCGCAATTGAAAAAGTTTTACGCAGTTATTTAAAAAAAATAAATAATGCATGCTAGTTTTGTAGATTGTTACAGGTGTTCAAAACTTGCATGGTGTGATACCATTGAAAATACGCCATTGTGGCATGATTTGAATTGACCTTTGTTTTTTTGTTTGTTTCATCATTGTTTGGCGATACCCAGGCGATGCCGATACCATCTGCGGTAGAGATTTTTTTTTAAATTGGTTACGGGAATTGCTTTCTTATGCTTTGCATGATTATTTTATAATGTCTTGGGCCGTTTCACGCAAATGCCTTGATCGCAGCGTAGCTAATAGGATTAAGTTGATAAAACATGTTGTCGCTCGAAACCTTTCATACAGCAACGGTAACGCGATCGAGCGTTATAATTTTAGTATGAATAGAAAAAAATACATTGCGTTAATGTGAAACGACCCTTGATGCATCTGTCTCTTTCGATACCAATAAGAAAAGGACAAAACATTTGATTTTAGCACAGACGAATTTATGATAGCTCCTTATAAATTTATCCGTGGCACAAATACAAGGCGTCACAAACGGCCCTCAAGGTTTATATCAAAAAAGTCTGACAGGTACTCTTTTCGAACCTCGTTAAGGCGCCCGTCTTCCAATTAGACGCTTGCAGACGTGCTGCAGTGGTGCCAGTGGCGCGGCAGCCGCGCGTCTGAAGCATTCCAGTAATTTTAGTTCACTAATTGTTACGACAGTGGCGCTGCAACTGCGCTTCTTAATATTGTATGAAAGTTAGTACTGGCGCGGCTCCACCGCTTCTATAAAAGTCTAATTTAATATAATAATAATCTTTATTTATCAAATAAAAGAAGTTAACATCACCATGTGACTCTGACTTCCAAACTAATATGAAAATCTTGGAAGTCAGATTGAATTGAATTTGAAGGCGCCCTTAGTTTTAGGAAAATTATTTTTTTCTATGGAATAATACTATTAACAGTTTACAGTAACAGTATACAATTAATGTTAATAGTATTATTCCATATTTATATTATTCTATAGCAATCTTATTAAAGTTAAAAATGAACTTGTGGGTTTTACACACAAAACGTTCACAAAAATTGTAAACGCTTGCCTTTGAAACTACTTCCATAAAGGTAATTAATCTATATATCTAGCTGTGGCTAAGAGTGGATCCTCAAAAGAGTCGGGTCCGTGATTTTTATAATTAACGCCATTGTATTGACTGGGTCACGTGATGTGGGTGGTTATATATTATTAGCTATAATACACAAAAATCACTGACGGGTGCTAAAACAATTATTTCCAAAATGTAAAAACATGTTGTTTGTACAAGCATTAACAGTTCGCTCGCCTTTATTATTTTCGACAAATACATTCTACCAATTATAGGACGTCACACTTGCAGTGCTGGTTTCTTATCTTATAGCGAATATTCATCTACACATTTTACCACCGCGACGCGACAAACTTCCTTTCTCACTTTCACTTGCGCATCTCATAACTCGATCGTATCGAATTGACCCGTCGTATATCGCGTAATTAAAACGATACGGAAAACGGTACTTTTCCATAGGAGTGAAAAAGATCGTTGCTCATTAGGCAGCATATTATTTTGGCAAGCGAACTCGGCGATAGTATCATATTTCACCGGATAAAATTGTCACACGTTTCGTTCATTCAAAATAAATAGAACGTGGGTTTTTTTGTATTGTACCTAGATTAACCAATTTCTTGCTTTTCCAATAGGGATAATTTTATATAAATTCTTCGCCACCGCTGCTTAGTAAAATTCCATATTAAATATTTTAAAATAAATTGTATAAATATTCCAGCCCGTGATAAGCACTTTAGTGTCGGTAAGTACGCAAAAGTAGTGTCAAAGAGTTTTTATGTACAAAATTAATTTATTAAAATAATAAAAAATATATTTATACTAAAAATTATATTAATTGGTATTGGAAGTGTGTTGTATTGTAAAATAAAACTTTTCTGCTTTTCAGCAAGAGGTAGTAGCTTCTGTTTGTTGCCGTATGTTGTTCTAATTTCACACCTAGGGTTGAATCAATACGAGTACAAAGTATTGATGCATCCCTATTAATTACCCGGAGATGTTTTTATGTTTGTTGCTATTTAGTGCAAGTGTTTCTTTTAATTAATAAGAACTTAAATCAACACAGACTATGACAGACACTAAAAATTGATTTCTTAAGAAACAAACAGAAATGTTATTCTAATTTTTTTGAAAAGAGCTTTTTTTGTTAACTATAGAGGTTAATATACTAAACATCCGTATACAAATCATTGGTGATGGATTGCGTTTGCCTCCGCGATAGCTACTGTGCCTGATCGTATACATTCAGAATTTCGTATTGAGAAGACGTTTCGTTCACTAACACGTTTTGTACTAGACACCGCATGTGTCTATGTTGGAGCCGAATACAAAATGTACACGCTCCGTCTTCTGACAGAGCATGTTTTTAAGGTTCGACCTCACTTAACAGAAAACGTTTTGTATGTCATATATTTCTTTTTTTTTATAATACTAATAGACGGGACGAACAAGTCGTATGCCTGGTGGTAAGCGACACGCCTATCCGTAACAGTTATAGTGCCAGTTAGTGCTTTAAATCGCAAAGATCTTATGGTGCACTGCCACTGTGCCCGTCATCCTGAAACATAAATTTACAAGTCCTACGTGCCTGTAATTTCGCCAGCACGCTTACCCTTCTAAACCGGAACGCAGTAACGCTCACATTACTTGGCGTCAGAAATAGGTAAGGTGGCTGCACTTCCCTGGACGGAACTCTCACAAGCAACTCTACTGCTACTAAAATATACATATGTTACGACGTTTACAAATGTGGTTCTAACCCAAGAAATAAGCTTATAGGAAGAAAGTGTAGACAAACTTTCGTAAGTTTCTGATGGTGGCGTTACGGCAAAAAAGCCGTTAAAGCCAAAAACATAGATCTCTAACAAGTACAAGGAAGAATTCGAAAGTCGCAATTTATTTAATTACAGTTGATTTTAATTGCAATTGATTTTAATTACAATTGATTTTAATTGCAATTGATTTCAATTGAATTGATTTTAATTGCAATTAATTTTTTTACTTGTTTAAGAAACAATTGAAACTAACAATTAAAACCGAAAGTACCGAATAAAAGTATCATTACGAATATGGGTTAGGGGGTGGGTTCTCGTAACTAACAATTGATGAATCGTTAATTGCTGTTTTGCAATTGACAATTAATTAATTGTCAATCTTTAATTGACAGAACAATTACATTTTGCCCAACACTGCAACAAACTAGTATTTTCACAAAAATATATATTATGAATTTCATGGTAGTGAAATCATCATGATGTAGAGAAAATCTCGTTTAAAGTACCTTGTATCCCCTTCTCGTTCAAAAAGGACTTATTATGTTACAAACTGTCGAACAAATTATGCAAAAAATACCTTTCTCAGACGATCGTGTAGTTTTTATGATAAGTAAGTGTCTTTATGATGTCGATATATTTGTAAATTCCTTAAATATTTTTAAGAAAAAAGTGGGAGAACTTATATTCTAGTGGTTCTAATGTACATTTTATTATATATTCCCGGACACATAATTCGAGCCATCTTGCATTTTTAATATTAAATGCCCTTAGCTTAAACAATGCTTGATTGATCAAGAACTATTATGAATTTAGAAACTGGTGTACTAAACGTCGTTTCCTAAGTTCTTATTGAAAATTTGAATTTATAAAACCGCTGAAAACTTTTTCCTCGACGATAACTATATTTTTATATTGTAACCCTTTAAGGATAAAAATGCAAGGTGGCTCGAATTATGTGTCCGGGAGTGTATTTGGATCTGTAATATGAATATTTTGGTAGTATATATGTAAATATTTTGTATCCGTCACATATTTGCACCATTTATGTCATATGTGTTAATGTAGGGTATTATGGGTCTATTTTTATACAGTGTTCTTAGATAATTGTTTGTATATGACTGTTTGTTACCTGAATGAATAAATAAATAAAGTAAATAAATGATATTCAATAAAATGAATAAAGTCTATAAGAAATTATGAATGTACGCGGTCAGGTTTAATCTTCACACGGCACGTACTGTGATGTACAGTAGCGATCTATAGTTAATACTAAAAGACGTAAGCGATAGCTACCGTCTTTACAGGTGTCTGGACAGAGTTCATACTTTAAAATGGGCTTTTTTAATAAACGTGTCACAAGCCATCAAGTCTACTAATATTACTTTTACATTCGTTGACAGGACGGCGGTGCCCCGGTGTTGACAGACGACGTGTCGCTGCAGGTGTTCATGGAGCACCTCAAGAAGTTAGCAGTCTCGTCCACAGCTTAACCCTATACGGGGTTTCTGCATGTTGTATATCTCTTGCAGAATTGATGTCTGTCGTCGACTATATAGCTAGAGATTTATATCCCAACAAATAAAAACATTATAATTATACGTGAGAATTGCATTTGTGGTACAGACGTGATCAGACTCCTCCAGAATTTTAACACCAGGTTATAGGTCAAAAGCGAGCTGTAGGATACTTCTAAGATGCAGAAGATGATCTTTCTATATTGCAGGTGTCTAAAAAAATGTGTAGATACGGCATGTTATAAAAAATTATATGGATTGGTTTAGATAGAACTACCGATACACTTCGACATAAATTATTTATTGTCTACAAGTTCAAAGAACTTTCTCAAATGCATGTAGGTGTTTAATGAGTGACGCACATTTTTTTTATCTCTGTACCTACAAACCTACATAAACACATCGTCGATTTGATATTGTGTGCGAATGTCTAAAATGTCTTTCAGAAGTTAGTCTTACCATTAAGAGAATGGTAAAAATTCTAGCATAAGATTTCGAATTAATTAATAATGACCTTCAATAATTTGTATTCTTTTTTTTTATCAAGTTTTTTATGTAGTCATGTGTTTGTTCGAATAAAGATCAATTCTGTTACAGATTTCTTACAAGTTATATTGCAGTTAAGTTATATATACATACAATTATATTATTTTCTAAAATTGTTAATTTAAAATTATGAAATGATAATGTTCAATAACGATTATAGTATTTCTTGAAATTTGTTATATTCTTGCATCTTCTGTTTTGTTTCATTGTCTATGACATTATTGCAATTTCCTCTTCAGTTTTCAGATCTTCCAAAAGTATAAAAGAGGGTTTATTCCACGATAGATATTTATATACACAGAAATTTTCACTTTCAGAGTTAAATTTAATTTAATTCAAATATTTTGGAGTGTGTCTTATAATGTAATTATTTGCAAAAAAATATGGTATAAATAGAGTTCTTAGGTTTCGCGATTGTTACACATAGGAAGTGTAACTATTTTTCCGCGACGTTTCGGGCCCTTTACAGGTCAGGAGTCAACCGTGACCATGGGACCTGTGAAGGGCCCGAAACATCGGTTTGTTTGAAAAAACAAATATACGCGATTTAAATTCGGAAAAATCGTTTCATTTCCTAATATGGTATAATTTTAATTATCTGTACACTGAGATATTTATAAATAAAAATGATACAAAATTACAAAATATAATTGATTTATTTATCTACATAAAACATAAATTGAAACCGTAAATATAAGTACTATTGTGTGCCCAATAACTAAACTCCTATATTTTGATAGCAATTCGCTAAAACTATACTCAAGAGACTTTTTTTTATCAATATTATGTATTACAAAAATTCTATAAACTAAGTTAACGCAAGCGGCTTCATATAAACGCGATCCAAAATAAATTAAAAATCATGGAATATTATAAGAGGCGTAAAGCAGTTAAAATTGGAAATTTTATTATAATAAATTCATCCGTTATAGTGAGACGCCTCTGTGCTTACTTATCAAAACTTTGAGAATAATTGATTAGGCTATACGCACTACCCATAAGATCAAACTTAAACTAAACAGCAATAAATTAACGTTATAAAAATAAATATCATAAATATTACACAAACTACACAAATTTATTTTGTATCACACATATAGTCCTCATTGGCACGAATAGACGTAACGTACAATTTTGAAGATAAAAAAAAATAATAATTTGGAATCTAAAACCGCGTGATACAAAAAATATTGCTAAAATTAATCATTTTTGTAACGGTTCAGTATAGGGTAGTTTGAATATTAGACATAACTAGGGTTGGCACGACAGGGCGCGACTTGCGCGAGATCGACGTCCCACAAGTCCCGCCCTGTCGAGTTAGTCCCGCTGGTTGATGACTAAGAGTCAATTTACAATGCCGCGGAACCAACATAAAAATTACTAGTCATTAATTATTTATAAAACTGTCATCCCTAATGATTTTTTTATTTTAAGGGAGAGATAGCGAGAGATAGCAAATATTTCTAATACGAGTAACAAGTTCGGAATCGGAGAAATTTGATGCTGGATGATATATTTAATAAATTAATATAAAATAAAATGTTACAATTATATTTCTTTTCATGTAAATGAATTTTACCTATTATCTCGCAGGAAGTGTTAACAGATATCAAAAATTAATTATTTTATTCCCTAAATCATATGTTACAATCTTTATAATAATTGGCCATATAAGTATTACTTCTAGGTCATCCAATTACCTACTTACGTATTTAAATTCTAATTACGCGAGCAGGCCGTGGGCAAAGCTAGACTATTAAGCAAACAATGATATTTTGTTGGTAGTTGACAAAAAATTATATTTTTCTATGCCATTACTGGTTGCCTAGCAACGTTTTGTTATTAAATATTCTATGTCGTTTTAGATAATAATATAAAAATTTAGCTGTTGTAATAATAATATAATATTTATCCTATATCAATACTAAGTGTTTATTAATATATCATAGTTCCTCGTCAGATTCCTATTGTCACTCTTTCTCAATGTTCCTAATCCTGTTTCCAAATTTGATTCGTATGTTTAATGATCATAAATATAAGTGTATAAGATCATTGATTATGTTATTATAAATTTCCCCGTTTTAAAAACAAGCCATAAACCTTGTAAGTGCCTGAAATGTTAACCGCGAAAAGCCAAGAAAAAAAAGTTTGGCCAGAGTACCTATGGTTTGTACCTTACAAAATTGACTTAGCTCATATAGCATCACGTTCAATTTATTTACAAAAATTCGTCTCCATGCCATTCCGCGGGAACGTAAATAGACCCTAGTACTGTCTCCGTTAGTCGTGACCTTGGGACCTGTAAACAGCCCTTGGTCTTTAAAGACAAATAAATATAAATATACGCAATTTTAGATCCTAAAAATAGTTTAATTTCCATAATACAGTCGCGAAAACCTAAAGATTCAACACAAAAATTATTTACATTCAATTAAGAATTCCACGTTCTATGTTGTCATGTGAATAATTTCTTGTCGTCAAATTGTAATTGTAAAACTACGTCCATTAATATTGTAAGGATCGATATGTGTGAAGACATAATTATAGAGTTGCAATGAAAATGTATCTACACTACTCATTAATACGAAGCTATGCTTCAGTTTTAAAATTCATTTACTAACCTGTCAACAACTTTTTATAATTACCTCGATCATAGTAAATCACTCGAAACACTGGTGAATATTTTCACTAAATTGACTATTTAAAAAGATAAGGTGCTATTGGCTCCGTGCGACTTGTTTAAGCCAACCGCCATTTTGCGCATTCTAATATTTATTTTGTGACGCAATTCGACTAAACTAGCACACTCGACACATAAATAGAGCCACCTTGCATTTTCAGTATACAGTCAAAAAAAATAAGATAAAAAAAAAATTGATCAAAAACTATTATAAATGGGGAAAACCGAAGTAACAATTATTCTTGCCCCCATTTAAAAATAAAAATGCAATGTGGTTCCGGTAATAGTGTATCGGATGGTGTATATCAATAAGCCGAGACAAATGTTGGCAGGACTTCAACGAGTGTAGACAAGCCAGGCACATTTTACCCCAAGTTAACCCAGACACAGTCATGGAGTCTACTCCCATATTCGTACAAAACAATTACTGTCAAATAAGTAATACTCGACCAAATCAAAAACAATGTGAAGTATGAAGCTTCATTTGCATCAAGAGTCTTAATTTAGCGGAGTATTAACTTATTTGACAGCAATTGTTTCGGACGGAGAACGGGATTAAACCCCCAGATCGCAACTCGTACTGGCGCACTTACAGGACACGGCATTTTCAAAAAACATCGGGTATATGTTATGAGTGTCCCAGATAGTCGTCATTCCTATCTTCTGTGCAAAACATGCATGGGAGTAGTAAAGAGCTCTAGTGCTTCTGGAGTACCCAGAACTGGACTTATATAAGCTTTGTTTTATTAATGTAAATGTTGAAAGGCGGCTGATTGGCTTTCTAGAGGGGCTGATTGGCTTCCTAGAGGAGCTGATCTTACAACACTACTATAATAGCCAAATACGCACAATTAGCGGTGGAATTGCGGAAACAAGTCTATTCGTACACAATAAGCAATAACAAGCTCTACGTGTTAATTTTTATCTGCTACTAGTTCTATACTGCGCACGAAACCAAAATTTGGAATCACTTCAAACAATAAGTTTTGAAAGTCTTTACTTTTTAGTAAGTATCCCATAGATGATGATCACCAGTATGACAGTCAAGACATACTTTAGATATATGGTTCATGGGTTCAGAGGTCAATTGAGGAATCGGATGGACATCTTCTGCTCAACATCTGTTCGCTCCAGTGCATGGCAAAATTCATCAAACTCTATCATCTGGTCATTGTTGGTGTCAGCTTCGAGAATCGTTCTCTCTGCAATGCTTGTCAGTTGTTCTTCACTGTGGAACATAAAGGGGTTTTTCAACATTCCATATAAATGCGTGATATTTTTCATTGATGTAAAGTTTAAGAATTTTTGTAGAAATTCCTAAAATCTGTCATCAACATTTGAGTGTAAAATGCAATAATTGTATAAACAGTGAAATTGATCTTATCAATTAATATCAGAATAATAAGCTTTATAGCTTACGGAATTTTTACTGATAAAATAATTTGGGCTTTAAAATATCAAAGTTACATCCTGGTGTGCAGTTATAAATAATTTTATGTTATCAATACCAAGTCCATCATTCATCTGGTACAGAAAGTAGAGTAAGAGGTGCTAAGTAGAATACTATGGGCAAGATCTCAACAGTTGTTGTAGTTGGTAACAAAGGAAGTATATCTTTCAGCAAAATTCATTTGCTCACATTTGATTTTGTAATCATTATAGTTATTGAAGTCATATTTGTAGCTTTCTTATTTTTTTACTCAATAACATTTTCTTTTTTATTGTTTGTGTGCGGAATTTAAAATTAAGACTCACCTGATATTAGCTCCAACCATCATGTGAAGTATGGCAAGTAGTTCATCTCTGGAGATTTTGCCATCATTGTCTAGATCATACATGGAGAAAGCAACTGGAAATACAAACAATTTATTGGCATTGTGCTTGTGTTTCAATGTTTCCTTGATTACAATAAAAAATATTTGTATTATATTTTTTTCATAATCCATTAAAATTCATGTGGTGCTAAGATGACTTGTTACTAAGGAGTTTATTAGAAAAGAATGACCAATTTTATTGGCTTATATTGAAAACATACACTTACACCTCAACTTTTCTTCTCTACTATTCAATTTGTTCTCTCTATTCTTCCTGATGGGCCTGAAGTGAGCCAAAACCCTCATAAACTGCAGAAAATTTACTCTATCATCATGGCTGTCTGTGAAAAATGAATGTACAATCCGTTCGCTGAGTGGATTGATGGCTAATTCTGGAATCCGCAGGAAATCTTCTCGGGCAAGTGTGCCACAGTCATTCTTATCTAGTGATGTGAAGCGAGAGTAGAGACGCTCAATCTGATTTGGTGTGACTGGAATTGAATAAAAAATAATGCAAATGCAGTTGCATAAAAAAGGTACTAAATAGACACTTTAGAAATCAATTTAAAGTGTAACAATTACTTCCCAAGGGCAGAGTGCCTAAAATACTGGAGTATTTATTAATTTATATTTATTACATATTTTTATTTCTAAAATTCTGCTAACCGAGATTATGCCACTAATTAAGAAAAAAAGTCTAGAAAAATGGGAATATCATTTCAGAGAATAGTCAGTGCATAAAGGCCTTGGAACAAGGTACAGAACCATCCAGAGTAATCCACAGTGGGTACCCTGGTTTGATTCTGTCAACATAGCAAGGAAATATCTTATATCAGCTTATAGACTGCATTTTGGTCACATTTCAACTAATAAATTCTTTCATATGATGGGTTTTAAACCATCCCCATTGTGCAGTATATTTGCAATAAAATAGAGGATCTGTATCATGCAATGGTGGAATGTAACGTAACCTTGAGGGGTACAATGTTTGGAGAAAGTTTATGCAATGGATAAATTAATTGTTGGCTTAGAGAGCCTGTATGTATGGAGTTCTAAATTTGTACAAGTTTTTGAATATGTCCCTTGAGTAGGGAACCCAGTATTCCTCCTATGAGGCTGACATACCCTCAATAAAAAATAGATTAAAAAAAAATTGCTAAAACATTTTCAGTTTATTTTTGTAGAATATTGTAGGTATGCATCACAAATCAAATACAGTGATAATATTAATGGTGAAATTTATATAATATGGTGGGCCACAATTAAGAGTTGTATTTAATTTCAAAATTCTCAGTTGAAAATCAACGACTGCCAAAAAATTCTTGAATTTTTTAAATAAATTGTCATTATTCTATAAATTTTAAAATTAAAAAAATGGACGTAAACACAACTGCTCATTAGAGACATCATTTGGCTCTAGGACACTACACCAGCAAAATTGTTAAGAACACTGTGTCTCTAGACACACCTAACACACCTAACGATTTACTTTCCCAACAATTTTGTTTAAATCTAGAAAACTTGTTGCAACTTAAAAGTACCCTTCTTTCTTAAGTCTACAGCATTAAAATTTACTGTTAAAAGGTGATAGTCTGAATGGCTGACTGTACAAGTTAGTATGGAATAGGTATACATAAGGTAAACTCTATTTACTCTGGACATACTTGACTAGAGTGCAGCAAATAGAGGTCCATAATCTCTAACTACTTTAGTTGGAGACAAGAATGGATGGACTATCTGGACTTTAAATAACTTAGAGCTCCGGTTCAAAATTTTTGATACAATATAATATGTATCTACTTATAAACACACTTATAATTTTATATAAAATTTTAGTTTAAATCGACAAAGTATGCCACTTTTGTTAACTAAGTATGACAACATCATAAAAGATCTAGAAGTCTCTATGTACTGTGCATTGAAATTATAATATGGTTAACAATACCTGCAAGTTTACAGATTGCTGACATTATTTTGACTATATCAAACACTCTTAGAGGAAAAAAGATACTTACATCCGGTTTCTTCTTGAATCTGCGCAATTTCTTCCTCTCTTAATAGCAACGATGATTTATTACCCATCTTGAGCTCAACACGTAGCCTTACGACAGCACTGCCCGACCTTTCTAGTTGTAGTCGATAAGTTATGCCATTTAACGAAACAATAATTGATTTTACGATCGTTTAGATAAACAAATGGTGATCGTGTTGTAAGGTTACATCGAATAGAGCATTAACAGAAAAACAACTTAGAAGGCAAAGTCCATTCGCGACTAATGCAACGAACGTGATGTGTACTAAGTATTTTATTAATTATCGTTACGTCCTTCGGGTATCCGTTTCACAATTTCCACATTTCATCGATCATATGGCTGTCAATTTGACATTGACAGATCAAGAACTTTTCGTTTCCATGATTCACCTAACATTTCATTTCTCAACTCATCACAAGCGATCATAAATCATCATAGCACTGAGCTTCCAAACACGTTGGCAGAATCGTCGCGTAAAACGGTGGAACCATATCCACATAAAACTTAACTTGATTTGTCTATTTCTCAAACCTTCAAAACGTTAAAAAAACATTTAAAAAATAATAGTAAAACAGTATTCAGTAGTATTAAAGAAAAATAAGATTTTGATTACTTAAAATGTGTGTTGGCCACTTGATCAGGCGCTGATAGTTGTATCCAATGATCAAAAGATCATCGTGTAAATCTTTGTCAGATATAAAGTCCATGGTCCATTATTATTATTTTACTGGAAGATTAGAAGACAAAACGAACGTTCCCTTCTTAGGTCCATCGCACACGCACTACAAATGAAACACAAACTGTAGATAGAGATTGAGACTCCCACAAGTCGATTGAATAACTGCAGGTCGATTGTGATTATTAAGGGTAACTAAAAGTCATAGCAAGTTTTGCGCCACAATGTACATTATTATACATCTGACTATAAAATAATTGTTTATATGTATAATATAAATAATCCAATTATAGGCAGTGTGGGTTTTGAAAGGTTTGCGTAGATGATGTTGGCGAGGTGATGGTCTGGTGCCGGGACTTTAAGGCTCAATTTATATTGCGGCTGAACGGAATGAAAGCAAAGTTTTGAATTCTAATTGTTTTTAAAGAGAATTTTGTGCTCTATACTTTGCTATTTAAAATGGATATTTGACCATTTGTCACGTAGTCGCGTTTTAGTTAGTGGACGGCAGATGTACAATAACCGTTATAAAAATTCGCATCCATTCCGTTCCGCCGCAATATCAATTGAGCCTTATTATATAGCCCGACAACTTTAAATATACTGAGAGTGTTGTAGAAAAACTCACACGGAATGTACCTGTTATTTCATATCGTTTTTCTTAGATTTTTGTCATGCGGTATTTAATCGCACAGCCGCTTACACTAGGGATACCTACCTTTGCATGTTGCTTAGCAACTCTTTCTGTCGGGAACATTGATAAGCAATAAATAAATGAAAACGTACCATTATTTTTATATATTTTCACAACACTGTCGCGGGCGAAATATTAAAAAGGCACCGCCAATTCAAGAAGAAGTAAATACCTAGTTTTGATAATTACAAAACTGTACGTTTTGTAAATATTGGTCAACAAAAGTGAATTATTTTACAGATGAGCTTTTAAAATGAGTTCTGAAGAAACAGAAAACACTTCTGACACCTCCGAATCTAAAAGAACTTCCCAAGAAACAAAAAGATTACAAGAGAAAAGGGTTTCGGAGCCAAAAAGCGCATCTTTTGCCGACGACCTACCAGATAAAGGTTTAGACACAGTTTTGGAACTGAACGAAAATGTTGTCAGCGAATTATTGGATAGGCCCGTGGAAGTTGGAGAGTATGTGGAAATTACACCAAGAATCTTTTCAAAAAAAGATATTTTAAGTCCTAACTTAACTATAGATGCATTGAACACTGCGATTTATGAGCTTGGAGTAATTAACTTGTGCTGGCCGAAGTTTTTAGAGCCACCTGAACCAGAATTAGAAACTCGTACGTGTTTTCCTTGGACCTATTACACAAATACCTCAAAAGAACGAATGCTTCTTTCATATGCAGAAAACTTTAGACGACAGATGCATTTTTATTTTAAACACATGCGGAAACCTTTGCTATTGCAAGCTCCGAATGATTGTGGTTTGCAGGTAGCTTTCTTTCAATTTTTTAGTTCCTCTGTCTGTCAGTAGATGACGCTAGGCGATTTTCATTACCCATTCCGTGAGATCTACTAATTTTGTGTTTGTTTTTCTTTTTGCAGAAAATGGTATGCACTACGATCAGACCGACTAAGTTGTGCCATAGAGGAACGAACACCTGGCAGGGGTTGGCGTCATTGGTCGCAGACTACTTCGAATATGAGCCTCTAACGAAGTCGATGCTGCATGTAAGTACCTAGGCGTAATTTATTTACTATAATTTACACTTGGTTTTTTATGAACTTTGATCGAACATTTAGGTTTTGTTTTGGTGTTATATAATAGTTTTATACTGTTATTATACCTGGTTGTCTTGGAATTTGTTCCGCTACTCATTGCTAGATGGCGGTACTATCGAAAGCGTGTCAACTGATGTATTCACTCTATTGTGTAGTGTTCAAGTCGAATTTGTTTTACCTTTACAAATAAAACTCATGTAAATATTCAATCAAATTTAATTAAACAACACTTTCGAGATCACGAACTGTGACAATGATAAGAGAGTCATTTGCTTGAAATTAATAATCCAAATTTTTTAATTTTGTACAAAATATCTTCTCTCGAATAATTAGTGGAGCTAGTATAATTAACATGAAATGCAAATCAACCACACCGTTTAGAGATACCATCTGTCTTATCTATCTCATTACGTTGCTTAATTTTGATACTCTGTGCAACATTATACCATTGGACATAACCTCTTTAATAACATCACGATAATACACTCTATTATTTAGGAATGTACTTACAATATTAATAATCTCTCAATAATTTATAATTTTGATCACAGTGTCCTTAACTGTTAACTTTAACGTATAATACAATTCCGAGTTGAGACATGGAGCATGTCTACCATATAAAATACTGAGCAATAGAAAACAACGAGTGCCTAGCGCTAATGCCATAGAGTTATCTATATCTTAACAATATACCTTGTTCGCACGATTGGCACATCCACGTCGAGCGCATCCTTTCAATATTTGGTATAACAAAGAGCACAAAGATGTGGCCCTCGCGGTACTTCCAAAAATGCGTAAGTGCAAGCGAAAAGTCGAAAGGACGCCGTGACTTAGCATTAGTTTTGACTTGAGGTAGAACATAGGGGATCCAACTATAAACTATAGTAAGGGTACAACTAGGAATGTAATTGTGAAATGGCAACATACAGCGAACTACTTAACCTAACCACGCATATTTAACAGTTTTGTGTGCATCGGAAAAATATGGTTGCAGATAAGTAACATCCACTTTACACTTCACTATAAACTATTAAGTTTGGTGATTGAGAAATATATTAATTAACTACATTTAAGTCATTCGACAAAGCTTCACAGAGAACAGATTCTACTGCTTATCCAGATTATCTTAATATAAAGGAAATATAATGCATAGCTTTTCTTTTAGAACAAAGAAATTACGCAAATTTGGCTACACATATCACAAGTGAACGCTTACTGGCGACGACGTAACTATCTATGTACACATTGTAATTGAAGAATCCCTGTAGCGAGCGCGGAGTCTGCTCGGCGCGCCTACTTGCGCCGCGCAGCGTGATCGCCGGGCTCGGCGGCGGCTGGCAGGCGGCGCGCACGCAGGTTGTGTAGCAACGCGCGTAGCTGGTGCACGTGCATTCGCGTCACGCTCGGGTCACCACTGGCCTCCAGCCACGCCAGGAACTTGTCGCCGTGCTCCAGCGCATCGGCCGCACCCGCCTCCCATTCTCCCTCGTTGTTCCCCGAGCTTTTTAATTCTTTGCCCGCTGTCTCGTTACTGTTATTGAACAGCAAGTTATCCAAAACGGTTCTTGCTTTGGTTTGGTTTCGAGCCGAATCTTGATTTTTTTCTGTGATCGGTTCCTTGTTTTCTGTGTTCACTTCAGGACTAATAGCAGGTTCCGCCACACGAGGCTCTTGGTGAGAGTCACGTATAATCTCTGAATGTTGTGGCCGAGAATGCACTGGACTCGTGGGTACAATTCGCTCTTCTTCCGGTTTTCTTTTTGTTAGGTGTGAGTATAGGATGTTCTCCGATGTTTTTTCCTTAGGAACTTGCGAAGCAGACTTAAGTTTGTCATCTGGCAGTGGCATTGCTCCACCAAATTGCTTGTAGTACTGCCACAGCCAGGTGTTTCTGTTGTAGTCCAAGTGAGCGGTGACCGAAGGGACAGGGGCAACAGGTTTCGGAGGAATACTTGGTTCTGGTGTCTTTCCCAACTGTAGGGGATGTGCTGCAGTCGTTTGCGCGGTAAGATCGAGCATCGCCTGCTGCGTTTTAAGCCAGTACCACAAAGTATCGTCCACTGGTTGACTGGCGGTAGACGTAGGAGGGTGGAGACCAGACTTCGAGCTGCTGTGCCGGTATAAATCTGAGGAGTGGTGTGATTTGCTGCGGTGCTTATCGTTTAAATTAAGCACCCCATTATGGCTATTGTGTGCCGGTTTCGGAGAGCGAACCGAGCGCAGTGCTCGACTGGCTGGCTGGGCGGAGAGTGCTGATAAACCTGGATTGAGCTGAGCTAGCAGTGTGAGGTTGGTGGCGATCTCATTAAAGCTCAGTCCGAGGTGGGAATGAGTGAGTCCAGGTAAATGAGCAAGTCCTGAGAGCGGGCTGATAGCGCTCATTGACACGCTTGCTCCGGGGTCTGGGCGACGAGGTGGCGGGACTGTAACAGGCTCAGGGTCGGCGCGTCGCGTGGTTAATTCCACTGGAGCGTCTGCTGGCGGCGGTGGGTGTGGTGCGGCGGCGGCGGCGACTGTGGTGACGGTAGGTGTAGTAAGGTCGAGGCAGTTGGCGGCAGGCGAGGGCGGCGCGGCAGGGGATTCGGTTCGCGCACGCTTCTCCGATGGCTCTCCGTCGCTGCTCTTGTCAGTGTCGGGTGATGACAGACGCGAGGTCATATAACGCAGCTTGTCCTCATTTTTGCACCAGCCGCGCAGTGTCGACTCGGGTACGCCGATGTCGCGCGCTACTGACGCCTTCGACTCGCCGTCGTTCACCCGCTGGATGGCCTCAATCTTGTCGCTAGGTGTCAGCGCGCGCATTGGCCGCTTGCCTTTTGTCGCCATTTCGGCAACTCGCTTACTGCAACAAACAACATTTTTTGTTATTGCTGAAGATTTGCTGCTTTCGAAGTCTTAAATCTCTTGTCATTAGCTATAAGCAAATTACTTGGAAACCTGAAATTCAAAACAGAAAACTGTATCTATGTTACTTCATATACCAAGATAATAATTTGCAATAACTGCGCTACGTATTGCAAATAAACAAGTTTGCGGCCGTTGATCCTAAAGTATTATCAGTACAGGTTGAAGAACTTCAACACTTAAGTGGTTATAATAATATATACATACATTGGTATTTTTTGTAGGTAACTAGGCCTAAAATGTTTGGAAACTTAAGATAGACCAGGAAGCGATAAAGTATTTACACGGAAAGCTATAAAGTTACGAAAAGATAAACAAAAAGAAGACATAAAATTATGACCTACGACAACAGTGGGCGGCAAAAGTTAGCAGGTCGTTGGCACGGTGACCTTGCCGCGGCGCGCTCACTCGGTCACCGCTAGATGGCGCTGCATGTACAATCAGTGCGTTTGTTGGTATGGGATAAAATATTGTTTTATTGTTTTGCTTCAATGCCCCTATGTGGTTACAAGGGTACAAGTTACGAATACGTATGATAGGATGTAAATACATCTTTTATTAAAGTAATTAAAGCTTGTATTTTTCTTAACGGTTAGTAGGTATTTGGGGCAATTTATAGTTTTGGTTTCTGTTCGTGTCTTTCTTTTGGTACTGCACAAACTAAATTTTGCAAGTATATAAGTATAATACAGGAATTTTGTTATAATAAGTACTTTTCAGTTGTATAACTCAACTGCCAACCCTGAAACTTACAGTTACTTTTGAATTATCATGCACTTTTTATTCATTTAACTATTTATTTAGTGAAAAAGCTCCAAATCGCCTCCCACCCATCTTTACATTCCGCCACAACCTGCCTTGCGATTGGCATAAATTTTAAATAACATGGGTAATGGGTATACTCTCCAAGATGGAAATTAAACTATTTAATTTAATTATTAAAAAACTTAAAAACCATTCGGATGTGGAACATTGTGTTGAATTTTGTTGGTTTACTTTCATCGACACGACATTTTTTTCATTTCAATTGATTTCTTAACTTCTTTTAAATTAAATATAAATTATGAAGTCTATAAACTGTAATGTTTGGTATCCAAAGTATGTGCCTTATTGCATATAATATGTTAGCTTGTTACAAACAACGTACTGCACTATTTTAACTCTCTGTCCCTTAAGTAGTGAAAATTGTCGGTAAGTATTTTCTAAAAGATGGAAAACTGATATTTTTGTAAAATACCCACAACAAATCGTAGATTTACATGAACGCACAGGCAAGTATTGTTTTTAGAACTATATGAAAACAATAAACGTTTACTCATGCAAAACAAATAGCAGTAACAACAACGTGATGAAAGGTTGGAACTTACTTGCGAGCCGGCGGCACGTGTGTTCTGTTTACAATTTTTGACAGCCCAGCCGTTATTGTTATATTATAACGCTATGAATGGGAACTCCGACCAATAAAGATATGCGCAGCGCGCACCGCGTGTTCACTCAGTTTCCACAGTGCAAGAGGGTTTTTCACAGATCACAAGTCACCGGAGACGAAGTGTCGATCCGCGAGGCGTCGCGCGGGTTGGCGGGGAGAGAGGTCACGCGCGAAGGAGACGTGCGTCGCAAGGCGCGCGAGGCGACTGTGTGGCGGTGATAAGGCCGGGCGCCGGGCCGCGGTCCGCGGCCGCGGCCGGCCGCTCCTCTCCTTTGTGTCCGTCCGACCCCCGCCCCGCATACCGCCCGCATCCCCGCCGCCGCCCGCGCGCCGCCTCGTAAACACGGACCTAGCCCCCGCACTTTATTAGTGCAATTAATTTCCACCACACGCATCAGCTTTCTAACGGTTCGAAAAACGTTGAATTCATCCGAGTTAAGAACTTTTGCAATTAGCATGGAATTAAAGTTTTGTTACTGTATCTGTGAGCGGTTGGATAAAAGTTGAACATTTTGTTTGGTCAGGTCGTGCCGCACACTCCTGGAAAGTAATTAGGTTCTGGGCTAATCGCCCTAGAAAAAAATGTATGCGGGTGAAAAACAAAGCGCTGCCGTAATATTTGCAAACTACACTTTAACTACACTTCAATAATAATTTCTATTAATGATCTTGCTACGAGATCTCGTAGCGTTTGCTACGATCATTTAGCCAGTTTCAATCATGATACTTAACGGTCACTCATTAACTTCTTTCCTACCCTTCATCTACTTTTTCATAAAAATATATACTTTATCTACAGTCCAACTCCACTCACTGTTGGGTATAGGACTCCCGTACTTTGCGCCATCTAACACGATCACGCGCTATTCTATTTTGTATATGTTTTAACTTCTTATATATAATGTGGTTTATTTGTACAATGTTTATGTTCTACCACACTTTTATATCATAAGGAACGTCTTGCGTCTCAAGAGCATAGAGCAAGATGTATGTGAGCGATCTGGAAAAGTTCAGAAATAGTCAAGTGGTCACTCGGACCTCGGCCATTGAGGACGTTTATCTCTCCTCATATTTGCTTTTCTAGAGCTCTTCGTTTTCAAAGAATAACAATACCTAGGTGAAAGTTCCATTGTGAGTGTCGTATAGGAGACCGAGGAGAGCTGTAACAGAGGAGAATTGTAATTAAGTCGATTCCTCGGAATCGATCAACTGTTAGCGAGCTGGCTGCAAGGTGCATTTATAGCTTTTTAAGTGCCCTTTGCTGCAGTTTGCACGGCCTACTTGTGTGTAGTCCTGGGAATATTATATCGAAAATAAGTTATTGAGTGAGTTAACGTATTAAGTGCTATCTATTGTGATATTAATTCTATCTATTCTATGTGTTGGCTTTTTCAAGTTTCGTAACATTATTTTGTGTTTTTGGTTTAGTCCCATGCTTTGAGAGCCATTATTCTCATTAAATCGGGATTTTTATGCGCTTAGAAGATTTCATACCACTTGTGAAATAAATAATTATAAATATAAGACATCACATATGTTGCTCTGATCCGAAGGTAAATAACTACAGGTCTTGTGTTTCGAAAGCATTGTGGATCGAACGCGGGACTTCAGAGATGGCGACACCATGAAAACTGTTTAGCAAGCCACTCGACCATAGAGGTCGTCATAACGCTTGTTTTAACACTCCTCTAATATTTTTTCCGACCAAAATTATTTTCGTGCTGAGTTGTAACTCTAATATTTTAAGATGCGTAGTCAATATGTGAGAAAGCTTCGTCTATGTTAGTTATTTTAAGGCATTCGAAATGCTGAATCATCGTACAATGGTTGTAAATACATGCGAAAGATACTAAAGACGGCAAAAGTTGTGTTGATGTACAGTTTTAATTATAAATTTGCTTTTATTCACTATTTTAATTCGACCTCTGTTATAAATCGTTTTGACGCTTTATGCCAGAAATGCAAAATGCCAAACGGGCAGAATGTCAGATTCGCAGAACGACAAATTGGCAGAATGCCAGATTCTCAGAATGCCAGATTCTCAAAATGCCAAATGACACTGCCAGCAACAGACCTTCCTCCTCCACGGAGATTTCGTACCCTTGCGGTATAATACAACCACATGTGATCAATCAATCATCAAAAATGCTTTTATAACTTAAAAGTCCCAAAAATAATAATACGAATTACACGAAACAAATTAAGTATATGTGAAATTTTACAATTCTTCTATTTAAGCATAGAAAAGTTGTCATTTTGCAGTTGTGGTCTTACGATACCCAATAAAGTTTACAAAAGGTTCATAGAGGCAGGATAATTTTTGAGTGTGATGTATTAGGTACCGTAGAAACTGTTACAATCGTCCCCGTTTTTCCACCCAGTCAATTAGTCTACGATGAATAGTAAAATCTATTAACTCTGGCATCTGTATAAAGACTTGTATAGTTGTTTGAGTAACTTATGCACCAAATTAATAACCTCCTATTTTTGTATTATTATAAATTTTTTCTCCTCTACAAAAGCGTATAAGTACTTAATATTAATATGTATTAATGTTGTGTATTAAAATTACATATAAATATGTAGGATATTTTGAATAGTGAACGTAGCCATAAGAATTTAATTAAGAATGTAGCATTAGAATAAGAGCGAATGACGAGAGTGAAGGAGAGGAATGAGTGAGTGAAAGAATGAAGAGGAAGAACGGTCGTGGGGAAGGAGTGAGAAGGCAGAGAGACAGATTTATTTCTGATGTATCTGTATCTGTGCCTTATGCCGCATTTTCACATTCGTGCGAGTGGCGATGCGATACACGAACACGCATGTGTAAACGGTCAGCTCGTTGTTCGTGTCGCGACTCGCATCGGCGCTCGCCACGCGAAGTTACATTTATTCGCAGTGTTGCCACTGTAGCGAGTTTTTTTAGCTAAATAGATTTATTCAGATTTACGAAATTATTAGGTACAATCATTGACTTACAATTATATAGACGTCGGGTCCGCGCTAAAAAGCGTCCGAACTTATAGGGCGTTAAAATCGTATACAGAGCGTCATTCACGCTTAGTCTTCGTTTGTTCGACTGACAGCGAAGCAAGCAAAATTAGACAGTACTGCGATGACATTACAATTTAAATTCAACGTTTTAGCTTTTTCATATTCCTTTACATGTCACTACGTTTAAATAGGTTGGCTTGGGACATTTTTTTCGTGGTTTTTGTATTAGACCCGTCGTCCATTTATTTGTAAGTCAATGGGTACAATACAAAATATTTGATAGCTAAATCTTTTAGCTCTTTTAGTAAGAAAAGTAAAAAATTGGAAAAAAACGAAAATAAAGCTTAACAGTCAATATCACAAGATGATAATGATTTGATTGATATTGATGATAATTATTTTTTCGATTTATAATTTGTAAAATTAAGAAAAATATGTCTTTAAAAACACAATATCATAATTATGTTTTTGTTTAGCCACTTTAGGCAATTTTACCCAGAATTAATTTCTTGGAATCTAGCAACGTTTTTACTTAGGTTTAACTCATTTAACTACTTCTTGGGCAAGGTGGCAACACTACTTATTCGTCCCGCTTCAGGTAAACAAAGAGTGCCTTGTATAGACACTGAAGATAATGTGAGTATTTTTATGCCATTGCGTATACATAGGTGTCGCGTGCAATGAAATGTAAACGTTTGTTAATTTTCAAATGTATGTAAATATTTGATATTCTAAAAACAAGTGTCTACTTTGGGTTGTGTTCAAAAAATATGTAGTACATCATGTCATGGATTGAAAAAAAGTCTACTTACCTAAGAACTCGACAAGTCTACTTTTATTTCAGAGAAAAGTATAACCAGTGTAAGTAGTACCAGTGATAAATATACACTCGGTGGCATTTCGTAAAATATAATATAATAATAAATATAATAATATAAGTATAATACTAAATCTATGTGTGTAATAATTTTTACGAAAATGAGATGGATAAATATATAAAACACCATTTGCATTTTTTAAAATTAGGATTGTGATTTTATAATTATTATGTAACCACTTTTAAAACTACGGAATTTATTAGATACCAAGACTTTTATATTTATCATTGATTGTAGTTTGTATACTTTTCTCTCATATAAAAGTATACATTTATTTAAAAAAAAACCCGTGTCTTTTTGATTCGTGCTCGAAAAACCGCTCACGCGATCGCACGAGTGGCGATGCGAGTCACGATGCGACGAGCTGACCGTTTACACTTGCGTGTCGTGTATCGTTTCGCCACTCGCACGAATGTGAGAACGCGTCTCAGCCACTCGACACCAATGTTTCGTCGATTGTTTCGACGAGTGGCGATGCGAATAGTGACCACTATAGTGTAAATGCGTTATTAGGGTTTTTGTTAAAAATTATAATAAAATAAAAACGAAGAAGTTACGAGCCAAATTTACGAATTTTATTACGATGAAGAACAGCCTACCCATGTCACATATGTATATGTTATACATATGTCAGTATTCTGTCTGTACAAATACATATATTTTATTAGTACTTTTTATGTAGTGTATTTTTGAAAATATTCTTTGGTGTTCCACTTTTGCATATCCCATTTTTTTATCTTAGCTAAGGTTGCCTGGAAGAAATTGCTAAAAATAAGTCCGCCTGTTGCACATTAACTTACTATTTTGTACTTACTTAGATTCCTGTTCTATGATGTTACTGTAATTTTATATGCATTATAGAGTATTTCATTATTCATTCTTTGATGGAAACAATTATCCAGTTAATTGATTAGTGTAGAATTTACATTTGGTTTTGTTTATTTCATTTCAAATAGGTAGTTTATGTACACACGCCAGCACGTCAAGCTACACATTGACGTATCTTGTTCCGTTGCACTGGAGGCGATTTTCGATCAAAAATGTGTAGTCTGATGTGCCGTTGTCCGTACTAAGTAAAATAAGCTGCAAGAATACAAAACGTGTTCCAATTTTCATGAAAAGTATTCGATAATTGTTTTAATTATCGAATACTTTTCATGAAAATTGGAACATATCGCTGCGTAATCTTAACCGAATATTAAATCTTATTTACTGAACCGTTCAGGTAAACTTTTGATTGCATAGCCAACTAATGAGTGAAAAAATGGTAACGTCATCGTTATTACATTAGTAGGAGTAGAGCTTGCGAAAGAGTCCGTCGAGGGAAGGACTGCCACTTTACGTACTGCTGCCTAGCAGTAATTTAAG